ATGAAGTATTAGTTCTGTCAAGATGCTAAAGCAGCAACTCTAGGGGTACGATTTTCAAAATCGATGTGCTTTTAGCTTTATGTAATGATCCCCAAACTATGCTTAATTTACAAATTAGTCCACCAATGGACTTGGTATGAGTGAGATGACACGTATGATATGAATGAAGTATTGGATTTGAGATTGTGAAATTACGGCTTTAGAGCGAACAATTCAGCAGTGGTTGAGGAGTAATTAGTGTTCATGCTGAAGTACTTCATTTTGGCATACTTTATTTTAAATCGTAATATCAACATGTTAACTTCAAAGTTTTCTCAGAGTCTCCACTTTCATTAGAAGCATTAATTTTAAAGATGCCAGCTAGAATAGAATTATCTTCTCAAATAGCATTAATATCTACAACATTATACCAAATGCTTTCTTCCCAAACATACTTAGTGATTAAGATGGTCCAAATTTTACTCTAACGCTGTACTGTGGTAGACTCGAGAATGGTGCAGACGATCTTTGTCTATGTGATTAGTGTGAAGTTTGAACCGGGGTAAAGTGAAGGTTACTGATTTTCATAGACTTGCCTTTTAGCCACAATTCTACACAGTGCTACGCCTTCTTTGCTGATCTGAGACGGGCGATTGCGGATGACGAAGTGGATGAGTTCATGGAGATGTCTAAAAGGCATCATTTTCCTGAGGACCTTGTGCAGGTCGATCTAACGACGAAGACCATTCAAAATGGCGGTGACTGATGTCTGATCGCCCATTTCATTTGATGAAGACTTGGTGTGTGGAGTGCTTCTTACTTATGTCCTTGTAAGTAGAATGGAAATGTAAAAATAAGTCTTCGGTCAACTCTGGTGAATGTGACTTGGGCCAACTACGTCGAGAACTTTGGTGCTGTTTAGCCACCACCAAGGTGCTATTTGTTTATACCCATCCCAACATAAAAGGTTGTAGTGAAACCTAAGCAAGTGGCTACCATGTGGTGTACATTAAAAACGAATGACGACACGCTTTTTTGTTGTTCCCCTCTTCTGTATACTCTGTGGAAGCGCACTGCATATTTTGATTGTTTACCGGATTGTTACCTTGGGTGGCGAAATAACTTGAAGTGCTGCAAGATCAGTAAGACGAACATATCAATGGTCGCTCCCAAACGATCGCCACCCATTGCTTCCAGTGGACATGGGCAGTTATGTCTTGGGTTGTTCATTTATTACACATCAAGCAACAATTATGACTGAGGTCTATCCATTTGTTAAGAGTGGAAGGTGTGAAAAGTAATTCCTCATTCAGAAATGTCCGAGATTAGTAATTCAGACCGGTCTAATTTTATCTCAACGTTTTGGTTGCTCATTTTGGAATCGAGATGGCACTGGTCCGTCCAAGTTTCGCAATAATCTCTAATTTCTTTGAGTTTTCACAACTCATCTCGTGGAACCTGAAGATTATGTGCAAACGAGGCGTATTGTAAGGTAGATTGAAACTCGTTCCGGAGATGCTAAATTGATGAATTTGTCTTCCTTGGAAAGTTTGAGTGTTCTAGATCCCAGCGATAATTATTTCATCGAGTCAAACGTTAGCAGGCTTTTTTCGGCTAGTTTATGCTAAATAACGTCTCTTTGTTTGGTCATTCTGTAAGCTCCGTTTGCGCCTGTCCACCAGCAGTACTGATTAGCTTAGATGTGCGTTTGTCGCATTTCACTGCCCCTCCAGTCTTTTGATCGAAGTAAAACTTCTTCTCAATTGTGGTTAAAGGATCACATTTGATTTCTGCCAGTTTAATTAACACAATTTTGGACCTTTGATTATTAGCTTTTAGATTCCGACAAGCTCACCTACCTCATGCCTGTTTTGCGTATGATAATAGAAGTTGTCTGGGAGAGTTGTTGGATTCATGTATGCACTAAAACCGAGGCATTTTCCGTCCCATGAGGCAATGCAGTGGTCATTGTTGCATCCTACACTACTATTAGAAAAACATTCACCCAACTACGGCTAAAGATAGCAGAGAACGTCTCACAGGCTCAATTGGCTGGTCTGAGACCAGCGCGATATAGGACCATTTACTGCCCTTCCTAAATTTGTTCAGCAGCCTTTGTGTCCGCTCTCTCATGAAAGTAACCGCGTTTTCGTTCTAAAGAATAGTCTTGCTATTTAGTTCGTGTTTGTAGTGCACTTTTACGGAAAAAAGATCTCGCTCTACTAAATTTTCATTGGGCAGAAGGGGCTCCCTAGCCTCAAAACTTTTACCCTCATTTAGGCGGCTTGAAAATCTCGTTAGGTCTTTCCGCACCATTTTTATCAATTCTGTCGACTTTGAACCCACAAATGCGCATTTAATATCCAATTCTCACTATTGCTTGAGGCAAAGTTTGGTTTTAAATGCCTGATCCTTTTGGTCATTGTATTGTACACTCCTCAATATCACTATTCATTGTGTGTTTTGTGCTTCAATTTGGTTTTTCGCGTGTTCCTTCTTCAGACATCAGACCATGTCTATGGCATTCAGCAGGTAGCAGCCTACTCCACCATGATCCTATTTGTGAGTCTAGTCATGTCTAGGTCATGCCATGACCTAATCTGTCTCGTCGACTGTGAAGGCACAGGGGTGTGTCCCTTCATGTACTTAAGGCGGACTAAGGTTTGCGATTCGTCAACTGTCGATCAGAATGGTAGGCAGCACAAATATCTCACGCAAGCAACATCTAGCGGTTGTGTAAAACCCGAGGATGCAGGAGACAATGGTGGAGTATTGCACTCAAACACTTTTACTGATGACCTTGAGCGTGGTGATTGTCATCTCGCGACACATTCATTATCGTCGTGAATATAGAATGATGATAAGTGCAAGATAAGTTGATAATAGAGAGATCATGGTCTCTTTGGTCTTTGGTCTTGTCTGTCAAAATTTTAGTCAAGCGGAGTCATCAGCGTAGACGCGGGGGCTTAGCTGTACTACCAATTGTTCCTGTGACTAAACATTGTTAATGCTGTTTTAGCTCTGAGCTAAGCGTGTATGCTGCACCAATTTCCATGCTTCCTCAAAGGTCTTTAGAAGTCGCTGCATTTGTCATTGCATAGACACATCTGGTTTACCGACTTTCATCTTTCACACCGTCACTACCATAGCGGCCTCCTTGCTGGAAATCCATCATTTGGCCAAAGTAACAAGCCCAAAGCTTGTTTGACATCTTCCCATCCGGTGAGTGGTGACATAAGGCATGGCTGAATGCGTGACTTTAGGAAGAAGAGGAACGTGGGTCTAGTTCGAAGGTCAGCTCATCCGGCAAAAGCAAGATGTTTGTCAAAGTGACTGCACTCCATACGGGTAGTAGAATAAACAAAGTGGTACGAACGTGGTTTATGGTCGTAACCACATTCTAGTCCTGATCCGCACGTCAAGACTAGACACTAATCCCGCCAGCCGCAAAGTTCTACTATGTAATCGTTAAAATATTTTCGTCTTTAATGTTTCATGACGTAGGGGTAGACCCATGCATTCTACATTAAATTTTATTGGGTTGCACTTGTTTCATTTAATCGTATTTGAAAGTTGAAATACTGATTACTTGGCTTAAGTATGGCAGAAGTCAGCTCAAATTTTAGTCACACCGCCATGACGAAACCAACACAAGATGCTAAACAGCTCGAAGTGTAAACGGAAAGCATTTTGGCGCCGTCATTTTAGTTGGCAAACAAATATGAACTGATCTGACAATATTCACTCTTATTTCAGATAAAGCGTCGAATTTAAATTTTTGACGAGTATTAGATGGTGGTCTTCCTTCTTTCCAACCACATAGTAGTGTACAGTTCTTCTCAGCCTTTCAAAATTCTATTTCACATCGATGGTGTGAGGCTTTCTCCTTGTTATCTGAACTGTTGTTTTCCTGGTACAGCTGGAGATTCTAAATCTAACGTCTGATGACTTGGAGGCGTGGTGTTATCTGGGGGTACAAAAGGTCAAGAAGTATTGTGGTGGGAACAAAACGCCCATGATGTGTAAGTTAGAGATGAGGCTTAAACTTGGCAGCGAGGTAGAACTTCTTATTAATCTTCTTACCGAAGTTCAATGCGTTCATAATAAAACATTGTCCCATCCAAAGTGGTAATTTCCCAATGAACCTGACC